CTTGGGCAGTCTCTACAGCCGAGGTGTGGGTCAAGATGATCTTTATATTGCTGGAGTTGGGTACTCACATGAAGTACTGTTTGTTTCTCCTTCTCTGGTTGTTAGTGCCAGTGAGTTGGCATATGCGGCATGCTCTATACAAAGTTCTGCCACATGGATTGTGTGCACTGGACCTGATCTGAATCTACAGGAGACTGCTTGTTATTTGAATCTCTGTAGATTACCTCCAGCACATCTGATTCATGTACTGGATACCTTTTTTCCATGGCATTCTACCTGCTAGGGTGGAGTACTAGATTGTCCCTGAGACGATACCTTCCCTCCTCCATGATAGGAGTCACCTCCAAAGGCTGAGAGTTTGTCTTCTTCCCAATTCCCTTTTCCATGCCCATGTGCCAGCACAGGGATCCCAGCTGCTGGGCTTCACTACCACCTAGTTTGATATCATGGGCCGTGATACCCCAGCATTGGAGCAGCTAGATCACCAGGAGTTCATCTGACTGGCAGCTGAAATCTTCTTGCAGATCTCACAACTCACTCAGGGGCAGGGATTGGGTAATTATCTTTGGCCCTTCCTCTTCCTGCTGTTGTGAGGGTTCTACTTCCTCTTCATCCCTCACTAACTGAACTGATTTGATCTTGGATTTCTTCTTATATATAGGGCAACTGCTGTTGGCACAGATTCATCCTATGGTTCAGCTGCTGTTTGAGTGGTCTCAGTGCGTGTTTGTTTTCCTCCTGTTCTCCCTGAGGGACTGTCTAGTACTGAACTAGGTCTGGTAAAGAATAGCCAGTGCCCAACGCACTGATTTCCTCCCTTCTGGAGATGTCACGCCATCCCCCTTGAAAATACCCTGTTGCTTTATCAGGATCCTGTAGTTGTTCAGGGGTGAACTTCCAAACTATTGAAGCAGAGAATTTCCCCCAAAACTGGCCCATTTTCTCCAACATTCCTTGCCGCTCGTGACAATCCACTCATGGAGCAGACCTTAGAAACCTCTCTCTGGATTCTGAACATGGTGTGGGCCTCAGACTCTAGACATGGTACAGACTGTACTCAAGAGACATAGCAACAAGACCATGCTTTTTTTTAACAACCAGAGGAAATCCAAAATTCTCAAAAGCTGGTTTAATAGCATGGTTTGTGACAAAGAGCATAAAAAGCTGGGGAAAATTACCTGTTCCTGTTCCCCCACAGACTAGGTGCAATTTGATGGACTCACAGAGGTAGGCCCCAAAGGAAGGGTAAAAGAGCATTACTGAACAGACATCCCAAATGACTCTCATTGCCCCCCACATAAACTGGTCATAAAGTGGTCTCACAGTACAGCAACACAGCAATGCTGATCCCTGTCTCTTCCTGCTATGAAAAAAATGCCACGGTGGGCACACAGGGCATACACAGGAATATGTACAGGGTTAGGTGCACAACCATGTGAACAGACCAAACAGCATTGTGACTGCTGACTCCCTGCCCAGTACAACAAATGCTTAAATCAAATTTGTTTCAAACTGCTCTGGTCAGATCTCATTATCTCAACCCTTTGGGCACCAAATAAAGCTATTGAGGTTTATGATTGGTGCTTCCCATGCACTGTTCATTCACTGCTTCCTCCCTCTGCCCTGTGACAGGCTAGAGAGGAGAATTGGACACACAAAAGGAAAAGATTGCAGGTTGAGATAAGAAAAATTTACTGGAATCAGCAGTGAAGTAAGAGATGAACACTAATAGCAGCAGTATTAATAAAAGGGTGTGCAAGAGAGACAATTCACCCTGTACTGGCTGGAAGACAACTCCCTTATCCCTGCCCCTGGTAGTGAAGTAAGGTGGTGTAGAATAACCCAATCACTCTGGCTACTCCAAAAATCTTGGCCTGGCCAGAACCAGCACAGCTACTTAATACAGACAAGAAATAATTTAATTTCTACCAGTATTTTTACAGGTTTGTTTTGGTGGGTTTTTTTTTCAGAAACAGGTTTATAGCTTAAATTTCAGTAATAATAAATCAATCAGTTTGTGTAATCCAGTGATACTCTGAACAGTCATTTTGCTCTGCATCCTCTCTGTGATGTTAAATAACAGTTCTAATGTGATGAACACATAGGTAGTTGTAATCATAGAGATGTATTCTTTTTTAACATTTAGTGGTTTGTTTTTGAGTTGCTAAACATCTCAGAATATGGGAATGTTAGCATTAGGCATTATCCTTGCTTTGTATCCTTTCTCTAGGTTTGATAGGGGGATTGTACAAAAATACCTTACACAGATACATTTTAACTTATACTTGAAATGCCTGTAGTAATACAGCTATGTGAAATAGTGTCTTCATATTGTCTGAAAGAAATAACTTGACTGTACTGTGTTGATGCAATTCAGTGTGCATTTTTAGAGCATAAAAACTCAAACTATAAAGTAGTTTTACAGACCTCATGGTATTCGGTGGTTTTGAGTGACATGTTTTGAACTCTGTTATTCAAGAAATAAGTGAATACCCGGGAATGGATTGGGTATAAGGTTTATTTGAACTGCATTGTTAGCTTGAGTTTGCCTTTGATTCAGTGTATTTGCTGTTCAGAACTGCAGCATGGGTGAAAAGCACTTCCAGCTGTTTGGTGTGGTTTGAGGATCAGGTATTTGCTTTCATGAATAAATAATACAGTAATGAGTTGGTTCTTTACTTAAAATAACTTAATATTCAACTGTGAAGACAAGCCTAAATACATTAAGTATGTTTTTAAATTAGTGCTGGTAGTTTCAGTAATTTTTCATTTTGAAATGAGGGTGTTTTGGGGCTTTTTAATGGTTGTTTTTCTGGTAAGGTTCTCAAAACTGTAGGTAGCTGGTTTGTACGTGTAAGTACTAATGTGCTCCATTGTGCTTATTTCCCTTGCTTTTGTCTGCCAGTGTATCTTGATCTTATTTGGACTGTGACAGATCCAAGGTCAATTTCAACTTCACATGTTTTTGTTTAGTATGATAAGATTCTTGTTTGTTCGATATATCTTCACCTGAAGTTGTCTTAATGTTTACTTTGAACGATATAACATAGGATGCAATACTTTCTAACAAAAACTTCTACTAATGACTTTATGTTTCATGGCATCTAATACCTAATCAGCTGTCCTAGTTCACCTGCTACTGAAAACCCTACAGAAAACCTGTAACAGGTTTTTCTGGTTTTCCCATCTTCAATCTTTGTAACCCCTTTGTCCCTTTTAAGTTGTTCTTAAGAAAGCTCCTGGCCAAATGACCGGGTGCTTTCACAGATCATTGCTACCAACCCTGAGGAGATTGCAACTAGATAGGGGCCCATCTTTTTCAGATATTTGCCTGAAACTCCAAAATATGTCTGTGTGTCCTGGCTGTTGCATCCTTGCAAGCTTTCAAATTCCTCAGCAGGTTTTTTTTTTCGGGTTCAGATTTCTCAGCTACTTGTCTGGATGAAGTTTTCTGGAGTATTTTTGACCTTTATAAGCTATTTCTACTGAACAGCATGGAAGCAGAAATCCTCTTCCCAGTGAGATTAGAAATCTTAGTGAAAAGATTTGCACATTATTACTTTTTTGTCTGTTTTTTTAGGGTTCTTCTCCAAATTAGTCTTGGAAGTTGCAGTTAAGGTTATTGGAATACAAAAGCTGTTAGAAATCCTGTGACATTTTATTCTTTTGTAGTAAAACAAACCAGACCATATTACTTCTTGACTAATAAAGTCAGCATCATCTTACTTTGATCATTTCTCCAAATAAAAAAAAACAAGCACTCCCTTTAAGGAAAAAACTTCCCAGCCCATTTTCTCTACTTTGGGGAGAAACTTTTAGACTTTTGCCTGAAACGTAGAATATCCAGGTTGACCACCTCTGCCTGGTTTGAGGTGGGTTTAAAATCTGGATCTTCATTACTGTGGGCAAACATCCTGCATGAGATCTTGGATCCATAGCTTTATGCTCTGCATCCAACTTCTTTAGTGCTATAGAAGTGTTAGTCTTGACTGAATTTGTGGGCAGGGATCTCTGAGGGTTTAGTGGGGATGAGAGAAGGGGGAGCTAAGATTGAAATATGGTGCTCCAGGTTTCTTAAAGGAAGGATATTTGAAGTGACTGTTGGTACACTTATAATAAGTTGAAATAATTCCATTGCAGAGATTTCTCACTGCATTGGAATGGAGGAACAGCTTTCTGTTAAGTGGAAGTCATACTTAAAATTAATTAACTCATATTAATCAGAACAAATTGCCATATAGTATAATTGTATTTAAGTACTGTGTGGTTCTCTGGAGAATCAGTGGTAATATTTCCTACAGTTGTATTAATAAAATAAAGGATATAGGTCTTGATGCTTCAGAAGAAGCTGACAAGTTAAAAATTAATGATGGGCAGACACATTTTTAGATATTTTTCCACTCTGCTATGGGATGTTAACAGCACTGTTTTACATTTCTAGTACAGCTCATTATCCTTTCTAAATCCTCAGCAAGGTAGCTGGATTTTGTACAGTGCACTTATATTTGTGGCTTTTTGCACTGGTCTCTTCATAAATGAAGCATGGCTTATACCCTCCCATCAAATTTGACACAGTAGCCTATATACGAAATCCATGGGCTGTAAAAATCCATGGGTTTTGTTCATAGTGTATTTTCCAAAGAAAGATTGAGATCATAAGTAAAAGTGTAGAATATGAGTATAGGCGATCAGTATGGAATTTTTGGCGTACATTTGCTGTAAAAGTTAAGGAAAAAAATGTCCCATTTTTTAATACTGGCTGCTTTTCATCCAGTATCTTGAAGTGGAAAAGTTGCGTTTGTGTGCTCATAATAAATATTAGGTTCTGTAGTGTAAATTGCATTAGAACTCACCTATCTTCAGTTTTTGTTCTGTTAATGTTGTGAGTTTTTTTCTTAAAATGGTAGTTAGGCATTTGATCTTCTGAATTTGAGTATTGTACTAGTGAGTTGTCAGGTTGTATTGGGGAAAATGAAAAATACTGTCTGTCTTCTGTTCAGAGTCTGCATCTGTGGACAAGTCTGTATCCCATTCTTGCACAACTCCTTCTACATCTTCTGCTTCTGGACTGAATCCAACTTCTGCGCCTGCTTCATCTGCTCCTACAGTTCCTGTTTCACCTATCCCACAATCACCAATTCCTCCATTACTTCAGGACCCAAATCTCCTTCGACAGCTGCTGCCTGCTCTGCAAGCCACCTTGCAGCTTAATAATTCTAGCGTAGATATATCCAAAATCAATGAAGGTAAGGATTCTTTCAAGTTCATGTAATCTCTCATTTACATACATTAGTATATTATTGCATACCAGGCTGTAGTAAATGAAAGCCTTATTTTAATTGAAAAGTGAATAAATGAATCCCTAGGTAAAGTGGAGATTTTTGTGGGGTTTTTTCCCATTCAACCTTCTCGACATTTAAGGTGTTCAAATTAATAAATGTTGATGTACATGAGCAGTGTAATTGAAACTGGTGACTTAATCACTATATCAGCGTTTGTTTGTTGCACAAAATTTCGTTTGAGCTCTTTGTTCTTTTGTTTCGTGCACTGTTCTTTGTTTTCTGTAGTTTGTGCTGCTGTTCTATTAACGTGTGTTGCAAATAGTGAAACTTCTAGGGGTTCTTAAATCTTGTTGCCTAACAACTTTTTTCTTTAGCATAACAAAGAAAGCCTCTCTGAATACAGGTAGTGTATCAGTAACTTTGCTAGCCAGTGAAATTTTGTGCATTTAATCGGTGTGTCCCTTAGATTTTTGTTGCATTGGCTTAGGTTATTAGAAGTCAGTTTATCACTTACCTATAGTGCCTTTTGCTGCAAGAGCAGGTAGAGTTGATGCATTTTGAATGCAGTTTTATCTAATGTGTCTGCATGTGACAGGTTACTGATAAAGTGGTGTAGGATTTTTTTGTTTGCTTCTTGTGCAAGGATCGCTGATTTAAATAGGATGTAAAACATTTGCATGGAGTGCTGAGAGCTAATGGTCTTTAACTTTCTGAAAGTGCAAATCAAGTAAGGGAAATTACTTACAAAGTATTCTATACCTTGCAATTATTCATCAGAAAAAGAGGTCAATTGCTTCCTTTTAATCAGCAAATATTCTGTCTCCATTCAGTACTAATAAATGAGTAGGTCACTGGTTTCTTTTTCCTGTGCAGGGAAAGCCTTTAAAACTGTAGTGCAGCAGGTTGGACTAAAAAAAGAAGTGTTACGGTTGTGTTGAAAAATGAAAGGTCCACTCAACTCCAATTGTATTTTATTAAAAAGCTGCCCAGTGAAATTTCTAGTAATTTTCTCTTGCCATGTGAGCAGCAGCTCTGTATGTCTTGGAACAAGAGTGTTCAGAGTTGTTCAGGTGCCTTGAGGGCCTGGCTGTGTCCACGTGGGCAGAGTGACTTCACCTGGCATAGCAGGGCTGCTCTTACTGTGCGCACGATCCAGAGTTACTCTGTGCTTGTGCTGGTGAGTCAGTTTTTTCAGGAATGTGGATGGCTGGAAGGTATGCTCAGGAAGTGTCCCACAGAACCTGTAGACCTTTTTGGAAAGGTTAATTCAGAAGCTCAGAGTTCAGGTTCTTGTCATCTCATACTGCAAGATGCTCTTCCTGTATTGTGCAGTTTTAAAATGGTTTGAAGTGATTGGTTTTTTTAGTGGTGGGGGAATGGCATGGGACAGGTAAACCCAGAACAGATAAGGGTTTTTTTATTAGTAAGAAGAAACATGGATTTTTAACCTGCAAGAGATTTGTCTTCCTCTTGAGCATGAAGTCTGCCCCCATTTTTTTTATTGAGTTGAAAGCATTCTGCTTTTTGCTTTTTTAAGAAGTTATTGTAGAATAAAAAAATCTTCACACACGTTCTGCTTACTACAGTAGCAAATTGAGCAAATTTTCTCTTGCTGTTTACAAGAATTATTAATAATCCATAATGTCAACCAGAAGACTTGATGTCATTTGTTAAAAGAATTTTTGTTAAGTGTATGTCTTAAAGTTAAAACTACTAAAAAAAGGATTTGCTAGTAATTCCAAGTCAACTTGAAATCAAGTAACCAAAGTACAGTTCAGGTGGATCTTTGGTCATGGTAGATATGGGAAATAAATCTGAAAGAAAATGTACCTTAAATGTAATTAGCTAGTTTCAACAGTTTAAAGTGGTGTTCTAGAATTGTCAGTAAAACAGAATGTTTGTTTTCAGTTCTAACAGCAGCTGTGACACAAGCCTCTCTGCAGTCTATACTCCATAAAATTCTTACTGCTGGACCATCTGCTTTCAATATCACCTCCCTAATTTCTCAAGCTGCACAACTGTCTACGCAAGGTATTCAGAGTTTTTTTTTACTTATGTAAATTTGTTACACAACATTTTAAAAAGGCTGATACAGTTGTGGAATCTGTCTCTTGTCATATCTTTGGCCACACGGTGTGAAGAATGTGGAATGACTTATTTTTCCAAAGATAGGATAAAAAATTGTTATTGAGGAGCAGGAATCTGGCACACTACTAAGTAAACATACTTGTCTGTCTCACCTTTTGGGATTTTCTTTGTATGTTAAGAAATTCTACATGAGTGATGTGAAACTTCTGGAATTAGGTGTTACTTAACAGTGTATTCCTTACTTCAACACCCATCTTGTAGTACTGTGCAACTGTGACTCTTGGGGGAGGCTTTAAATTCTTGAAAGAAAGTTTCCGCTGTCTGGTGGGGACTTTTTTTTCATCTTCCAGGCAAGATACTCTTTCAGGTATTTCCAGTATGTTCTGGCTTGTAACTTAATTAAAAAACCCTTAAGTTTTAAAGTTTGGAAACTTAAACCAAAACAATAAATGCAGTCATCTTACTGAGTAGCTAAGCAGTGCTAATGGTAATTTTTAACCGTGGGTGGGGAGCTGTTGGTATATGCCTAGAATGGATTAATAGGTTTCTGTATAAAATGTTCATGCTTTCTTTTGGTTAAATCAAGTTGAGCACTCTGAAATAGGAGTCGCATATGATTTATTCTCTACATGTGTAAAAAGCATTTCCTACTAGCTTCTTCTCTTTCCCTTCCCCTGAAATTTTAGATGTGGGGAGTTTGGGGGAATGCAGTTCCTTAGCTAGGATTGTTGTTGAACATTACATTGTTCTAGTTGTTCACAGTGGACATATTTGTATGTCATCTAATGTAGCATACTCCAGAGCACCAAAAGCATTTACGATAGGACATGGTTTTATTAAAAGCATTTTTTTTTCCTTTACAGCTCAGCCATCAAATCAGTCTCCAATGTCTTTAACATCTGATGCCTCATCACCAAGATCATATGTGTCTCCAAGGATAAGCACGCCTCAGACTAACACTGTTCCACTTAAACCTTTGATGACTACGCCACCAGTATCATCCCAGCAGAAGGTAAGCTCCTTTTGACTTACGTCGTATTATAGTAAGAAGCCATTATACAGAATATTTAATATTGTTCCTATATATCCATGTGTTAGCAGTTGTGTGTAGTATAATAAAATATGCATGTTATCTTTCCCAATAGAAACAAATAGTGGAAGCAGCTACTTGACTGTATTTTGGCAGTGCAGCTCCAGTATGAAATCTAGTTTACTTTTCTTGAGGAAATTCTTAATGCTGGCCTCAGAAGCTGTCTGGAGATATTACCAATGCATTGGTATTCTACCCTATTTAAATAGAAACAAAAGCATACTTCAAAGGCAACAACTGATACAATTATTTAGACTTAGCCAATAAAAGATATTTAGAATGGGAGACAATGTCTTGGGGAAATTAACTTGGAAGTAGTCTCAGATTTTGTTTAGAAGTGTTCTAGGTGTTTACAGATCAATAGCATAATGTTCCTTTCCCTTCCTGCCCCCTCACCTCTATTCATTCAGAATTCCTTCATTGGGTCATTCACTAGGGAATGTAAATTGAAGCTAACCTATAAGCTTCTGAGGTTCTTCCTGAGAAGCATAACTGTAGATTTTGGGGTGAGACACCCCCACCTTCCTAAAATCTGTCTTCTCTATCACCACTCCTGCTTAGCTGAGGTGTCTTTTTCTCAATTTTCTACTCAAAAGCGAACCTATAATGTCTTGGATGCCTTTGAGGAATACTTTTCTCTTCAGAAAAGCACATTGCATTCCTCATTATATTCAAAATGCATCATTTTCTTTCATCAGATTTTTTTCATGGGTACAAAGAAAACGAAGTGATTCTCCCAGTTTCTTTTGATTGACAGTGATACAATGAATTGCAAAGCTTCATGTGTGTACCAATACTGGTTGTTGCCTTGGTTTCTGACCCTGGATTACATCCTCAATCTGTGTTCATGTCCCATAGCTACGAGGCAAGTAATGAAATTATCAAATAGCAGGGTTGAGATATTTGTTACTTCCAATCCTGAGATATGAAAAAGAATCATCTTAAGTTGTATACTGGTGATAACTGGAAGTACATCTTTTCTGGTCTCTACAACCCAGAGATTGATTGTTAGTCCCAGAAGTAACAAATTTTGGTTCAGCAGCAGATACTTTGCCAGTTCAATAAAAGAACTGTCATGATAGTTCCTGTATTTGTGTAACTCAGTTCCATGAGATGGGAACTCAGGTGGTGATAGCTCTGGTGTGAGCTCATCTGTTTCAGCAGCCCGTCGGATGTGGGAGTCAGCCTAGCTGTCCAGTTGTACAGGGTGAGGTAAATTATGCCTAAGCAAGATGTGATGCTGTGCCAGAACACACTTGGTTTTAGAGCATGTGGCCTTAGAGCAGACAGAGCTGAACTGGTCCTGTGCAAGAAGAGCCCTGTACCAGATGGACAGGGTTTGGGCTGGCTGTGGGACTGCAGTAGTGCCAGTGGCACAGTACCACTGCTTAGGACTGAACATGTCAGTGCTGCTTTCAGACTGGAGCTGCTGTGGCTGCCTGTGTGGGTGCTGTGTGCATGTGGCAGCTCAGGGGTCACACTCCAGGAGCCTGGAGGTCACTTTTTGCCTTTTAGCTGTGCCTGTATTGTGTGATCAGAAGCTGTTCTGAATTTCTGCAAAGTAGTTGTGTAAAGCACTTTACACTGACCTGTCAAGCTCAGTGAGAATGTTGCTTTTGGTTAGTTGGTTTATTTGTTTGGGTTTTTTAAAAATTTATTTAGCCCTTATTATTTTTTATTTTTTCTGGTATATGTATTTACAGTCTTTGAAACACTTGGAAGACATGGAATAGTTGAGAGATTTTGTGGTTCATTTATTTTACAAATCCCACTTTTTCTTTATGGTCCTTTTTTTTTTGTTGTTGTTATTTTTACCAGCCAAGGAGCTGGTTACGTTACCAGTTTGGATCTGCTGCATGATTCCTTTATTGCTGATGGACTTCCCTTTTGAAATTGTTCTGTTTGAACTGCCTTGGTGGTTGCTCAGCTCACAGGCTGAGCAAAATGCAGGCATTAATAGCAAAGTTCTTCATGTCATACATTTCATAAAGGTACTTGTGTAGTCTGTTTTTGTAAATCAGTTTACGATCTGCTACTCTTTCACCCTCCTGAACTATACAGTTCTGTTTATTTCAACAGCTTAGTGATCTTACAATTATCTTGCTTTTTCCTTTTAGTACCATGGACTTCTCATGTGCTACTCAGACTTCTTTAGTATATGGCTATTAATCTAAAAACCAGAAAGAACATATTTTCATTTTGATAATTTTAAAAAGTTAATAGTTTGAATTTGCATTAAGACACCCTCCCCCCACATGTTTAAATGAATCAAGTTATATCTTGAGTTTACCATCTGTGGTTTGTTTCATAGAAGTCTGTTTCTGAAATAGAGAATTTCTGGAGGTTCAGGTGACCAGTAGTTAGTAATCTACACTAATGTGAAGTCAGCAAATGCCAGAGACGCTGGACAATTTGGGGTTTTTTGTCTTTATGGATCCCTAGAAGACATTTTTTTCTTTGCTCTCTCCCTTTTCTGTCAAAATTGTTAGCTTGATTTTGTGAAATGAAGGATAAATTTTGAAGCTCGTCCTCTCTTGTACGTGCTTCAAAATTGACTGACATATGCAAAGCATTGGGCAAGATGAAGTACCTTGAACTTCATTTGCTGTAAATTAGACATTACTAGATTCCCAAACTTACCATCCTGATGTAGTTCAGAAATTTACAGAAAGGACTGTATCTTACTGCTGGTATCTTAATACCTTGCATTGAATGTGTACTACAGAGGAAAAGCAAGAAAGTACTGGTGACTATTTTTGTAGTCACCCATGATTTTAGAACTTAGAGAAAAGGGAGCAGCAAACTGATAAATATGCTTTAGATTTTCTTTTCCATTTTTGATAGAGATATTTTTCATATGCTTGTGATGTAATTATGTTCTTGACAATGTGTAATGTATTTTCAAGTAGAGAACTCTTAAGTTTTTACATGAAGATTTTATTTGGGTAATGAACACATCTTCTGAGGTTGAAAATGAGCTCAGTGCTCAGATGGGAGATACAGTCAAAAATAATATTGAGTTGAACTGTTTTCCCTAATAAGCTTGCAGTATTTTGACAAGTCACATGGGTCCAAATTTGCTTCTGTTATGTCTATTAATAACCCCTTCTTAGTAAAAAAAAAAATCTTTCTGTTAGTTGTGGAACTAGAAGGTTTTTTTTAGAACACCTTGTGAAGATAATAAGAATTGTGTCAGCAAAGGCCTTGCATCAAAAAATCCTACAGATGTTGAAACTGTAATTTCCTTGGTTTTCTCTGTTTCTTACACTTGTTCTTTACTGTGGAGGAATTCTAATGAAGTTTTGAACTTTCCAGGTTGCTACTCCAGGTGTTAAACAAGGACCAGCTTCCCAGGCAGCACCTCAGCAGCCAGTAATAGCTGACAAGCAGGCGGGTCATGAGCCTGCCTCTCCACGAAGTCTTCAGCGTTCAAGGTATATTGAAATGCTTCTCTCCTCTGTCATTAGTTTTTATCTGCATTCAATGTGTGCTGTATATGTTGCAGTTAATGCACTCTCTTTGGCCTGTTTATTGAACTGCTGCTGTATTTAACTGCTGCTACTGAGATAATGCACCTTTGTTACATATTTAATGTGGTAGATTCTCCGTTGTTGGGGTAATCATTGGAACATTCTCACAGAAGCAAAAAGGAACTCATAGTTGTGTTCTGTCACTCTGGTGTCAATTTTACAAGTGATTCCTTTTACTGTGTTTTCAGTTTGTCGTTTCTGTCTCTGTGCAGTTACAGAATCTGTGATGCTTAGTGTTAGATGTTTGTAATGACCTGCTGTAGTGTAATTTGATTTTGAAATTAGCATGATTTTTTGGTTTGTCAGGTGATTTTGCTGCTCTAATGAAAAACATTAAAATTAAGTAAGTTACAAATACCTTTCCTTGGCCTGACTTTTTTGTCAACATTGCAACTTACTAAGATGTTGCATGATACCAGCATTTAACCACTGCTTTACCAGGCGGTTTTAGAATCTGTATCTTTGAAATTTTTCTTTTGGGAAGATGGACTCTTCATAGTGTCAGATGCTCTGTGTTTTGTCATATTGGTTCCAGGAGCTGTAACCAAAGATGTGTCATGAGTCATGTCAGATGTGTCATGGAGTCATGGTGTGGAACTGTAGTAGGTTTTTTAGAGGTTCTTTAAATCTGCAGTTCTTAATAAGTGGATTTTTAGAGTGATTGAATGAGGTGTGTGGTGTGGTATGGTATAAAAAAAACAACCAAAACCCAATACTCTTGCATTGTCAGCATACCTGAAGCTACACACGGTGGTGCTTTCCAGATCATAAAATAGTGAGATCCTTTTATCTGCCTTTCTGGGACTAATAACAAAGGGCACGTCTGTTTGGGTTTTGTTTTGTTGTTGTTGGTTTTGGCTGTTTTTGTGGGGAGAAGAGATGTGTATGTTGAGGTGTTTTGGGGAACTGGGTTATCTGTTGTGTGCTTGGCAGTCCTGTCCCAGAAGCTGGCTTTACTGGTGACCTTGGAGTATTGACAGACACAAGCAAGTCAGGAGTTCTGAATTTTTAATGTAGGCTGTTTTACAGACACTTGATTCTAAGCTTTGTTGGATTACAAGGTAACTTGTAATTTATCTCTTTTAGGAGAATAAAGGCAAAGTGTCCAACTCCAGTCCCTAGTAATTATGAACGGTGCTATTTAAATATTTCTGAATTATAGTACCAAAGATAAAGTTACACTTTCCAGCAAGCTAAGCTTTTTTATAAGGAGTGGTGAGGTTTTGGGGGACAACTCTCAGTCACAGGCCCTTTTGTTCTTTGCTCATCACCCTCTCTGCACAGGAAATCTTCTCAAGAAAGATAGTCTCATTCTTTACCATGGCTTAGAGTCCGTGAGTTGATGCTGGTGGCATTTGGCCTGCTAGTCCATACCTCGCCCTTCCTTTGGGTTACATGACTTTGTACTCCAGCATGACCCTTGCACACAGTGAGTTGAGGGATTTGCTGTCCCTCTGCAAACCATTGCTCTGTTTGAAGCAGGGTTTTGGTGGAGGAAGCTGAGTTTGCCCCAGACTGCTGAAGCAGGGACACTGTACAGGTAGTGTGCTCTCGTGGCTGAGGGCAGGAGGCAGTGTGCATGCCAGGGTGAAAGGTACTGGGACAGTGTTAGTATTGTTCAGTGTCCTGTGTCTCTCAAATTAATGCACGTTTGTGACTCTGCTGTATTGTGCATCTTGAGTTCATGTGAGTTCATCGTGGGTTTGTGTTCAGTTCAGTGTGCTTTGGAAGTGTCTCGTTTGCAACAAGTGGAAGATTAAGGAGTAGGTGACTTGGGAAAACCTGTGTGACTGGTATTTTCTTCTGTTGATTGCAGTGGAGTTGAATGAAAGTGAACCAGTTCAGATATTGATTTACTTACCTGCAAAAGATTTGCTATGTCTGAATTGATAGGGAACAGATGATTCCTTTGTAGGTGAAAGTAGTTGGCTGGATTGGGAATTGCTCTTGGAAGCAAATTTTACTTCTATAGGAGTGAACAACAATTCAGCAAACTGAACTGTGGACAGATGGTCCAGAATCTTTCTAGCTCTGTGAATTAAGGGTGCATGTTTTCTCCAGCTTAAATACTGATTAATTGAGCAGAAGTTCATCACAGTGCATTTCCTTCGCTCATTAAAAGTTTTAAGTAAATGGAGGTAAAATTATTTTTGATTTGTTGGGGTGGAAACACAGTGTGAGAACCTGAGTAGCTTTTGTTAACTTTCTAGAAGTGAACATTTCAGCCATTTAAGTTGGGAAATTAACACAATGCAGGCATACAGTGAGTCTGTCTGTTAGAGATGATTCTGAAGACACACAATCAATTATGGCTGTTTTAAATGTGAAACTAAATCAGTGCTTCCATAATTAATAGTTTCATCAGGTTGGTAGTTTCTTTCTGTGTTCAGAAAGGACTGAGAGAAATTTTCACTTACCTTGGGAAGGTGCAGTGGAGGGAGTATTTCATTGCATTTTTTGTAGGTTGTAAAATTCTGACATTTGTAGTAATATATTTCAGAACCATCATGTTTTAATACCCTTGATACAGATGTGTTTGCCTCTTTGGAGGCATTCTGTTACTTGTGGCATAGTCAGTCTTTACCTCAGCTAAGGCAAATATTTCCCTGTAGTGAAGCATTTAAAAATGCTGTGGTAGTTTGGAACAGTCATTGCTGCATTTATAGCTCCCCCTGCTGCTAACACAGCAGTGCTTAGGATATTTTGTGACAGTATGCTTTAGTCATAATTAAGACACAGCTTCATTTTTGAGAAGCCCACAGATTTTATTTCTTTTCTTGAAACATTTCAGATGTTAGAGTTTACTAATGAAGATGTCTACTAGTGAAGTAGGAGTAGGAGAAGACAGGCTGATAAATGAACAGGAGACAAGTCATAGGGGGGAATTTAATTCTAGTAGAGCTAAGGAGTAGATAAGGTTATGCCTGAATTCTGCTTAATTTAAAAAAGTAGCCTGTCTCTGCATCATCACTACGCTACATGAATGCATTGCTAAATGATGCTAAATAAATATATTGAAACTCAGAATAATTTATTTTGGAATGGAATTCTAGCTGCAGTCTACTTTGGTCCAAACTTAGAGTAGGACTGGCAAGTTTGAATTGCTGAGGGCATTAGGTGATTTTTTTTAATATCTCAGAATATCTTCTTCTGATGTTTGACTGCCCTTATGGTGATTCTTTTTCTCTCATGTCTGATTAGAATTTCTCTTGTTGCAACTTGTCTCGGCCTCTTGTGCTATCACTGTGCATCTCTGAAAAGTCTGTTCTCCTCCAAAAGTAGTAAACATCTGCAAAAAGATCCCTCAATCCCCTTCCCCTCAGTCTTCTGGTTTCCAGACTGAATAACCTTTAAGCTTCTTCTGATACAGCATGCACTTCAGCCCCTTAGTTGCCTGTGTGTTCTTCTGCCACTTTCTTTTGCTATAGCAGTTTAATTCTTGTCCGGTTTTAGGCTTCCCACTGCACAGTGCTCCAGATACTCTGAATCTTATAAGCTCTGAAAAGAGGGGAGGAATTGCCTTTTTTGTAGGAGAAGTGCTTCGTCCCTCTTGTTGGCTTGGTGACTCTCTGGCTTTGTTCCAGCAGGTCCAGCCAGACATCCAATTTGTTGGTTGTAATTCTTAATTCTGTAATTCTTTGCAAGAGCGAGTTGATTAGGATAAGTGTCTGGGCATTGGACTAGAGAGATAGTTGCATTATGTAGGGAAGTTTTCAGTCTTCAAAGGGACTGACAGGTTAGGTGATGAATCAGAAGTCCTTTAAAATTTGGTTCTCCATAATACTTTATTCTTGCCTGCAAGTGATACAAAGTTTTAAGAAATAGACTGAATTTATGGGCTGCGTTGAAAAGCTTCTGCCAGTGCGAGAGTTGCACTTACACAATTTTGCACTTACAAAATTATTTACTGTTTCTCAGTACATGTAGTGCCAAAGAACATTTAACTGTGAGGTACCATCACTGTTAAGCTGAGTATGTTCCAGTAAAGCAGTCAGGTTTGGTGGCTACAAACACACTGCTCCTGTGATACTTCTGTTCTCCTGAATGCATTCAGTGAAGATGTACAGTGTCACAAAAGCATGTAGATTGTGTTTTGACATGAGTAGTAAATTCCTCCAATCCCATATGACTGTATTTTCAGATCAGGGCATCAGGCATTGTTCTTAGTGATTATTCTGGCACACCTCTTTTGAAAAGACCTGTTTGTCTCCCATCTGATACATCATTACTGAAAATCTTAGGTTTGCAGCTGCTCGAAGAAAGAACATAAATATATGTATATTTTCTATTCAACACCATTTAGGCACAGCTTACTTACATCTCTTGAACAGCTCCCAGAGTTAAAAACCAGACAAACACAGAACCCTACCAAACAACAGAATGCTCCTGTTACATTGTAGTACTCACTTCCAATTAAAGTTAGAGGTTTGTAGAAAGGTGGTGCAGGTTTGGTCTACCAGAAGTATTTACTTACGCTTTGAACACTTTATGTATTTTTGTGCCTGGAAGCAGTGAATTTTCATTGTTCATTTCCCTGTAGGTTCACATAGGTTTTTAAATGCTCACTTGCTTTTTTAAATTCTTTCTTCTAGTAGTCAAAGAAGTCCATCACCAGGTCCAAATCATACCTCTAGCAGTAGTGCATCAAACTCAACACCTGCACCCCAGAACACATCTGTACGACCCACATGTTCATTAACACCGACGCTAGCAGCACACTTCAATGAAAACCTTATAAAGCATGTTCAAGGCTGGCCTGCAGACCACGCAGAAAAGCAGGTGGGTGCTCCTTTGCTTTGTTACCTCTCAGAGTGCATAATATGTAGCTTAAAATTTGGATTTCTTATTCATGTTGCTTTTTCTAGGAATTAAAAGTATTAAAACCCTTATTCTTGTCCTCAGCCAGAAGAGGGGAGAGAGAGATTAAGGCCAGACCTGCAGGTTTTACATGTGCTTGCCTTTCAGTGCTTGGGTATTTTCAGTCTCACTTGAAGTGTCAGTGCTTTTGAAATTTCCTCAGATGAATAGTTATCCTCATAACTATTTTCATACTGCTAAAGTTCTGTTGAAATTTATGGAGAACAGAGAGTTCAAGATATTTTTTCATAATGATATTTTGGTTATGTGGAAAACATGATAAATTAGGTACAGAATTAAACTATTTGAGAATATTCCATTATTTTAGTTACTGACATGTTAGTTCTACACAGTGAAAAAGAAACTACCTTGTTTGTAAATTGTTGTAGAATACTCAGACTGAATTTGGGGCTATTTTTACATAATGAGAAATCCAGTCAAACTGCCATCCATATATTATAGCTAATTGCATGAAACCTGTTCTGTTGTAGTAATACAAGGAAACTGGATGCATGTCAGCTGCTTGGAATGTATTACTCAAAGGAACCATTGAATCTAGTTGGTTATTGAATCTAGTTATTTCCAGAGGTAGCCATATCTGCTGCAGTCTGTTTGGGGTAATAATCTTACCTAGCCCAGTTTACTTTGGTCTTCTGAAGAGTTGTTGCATGCTAGCCCAATTCTACACTGGAAACTTTTGGGTGGTTACTTGTGAGATGACTCTCACAAGCACAGTCTGAACTGAGACCCTGTTAGGATTCCTGCTACTTTTCACTGATCAGTTAAAGTTGGTTTTAAGACATTACCAACCTGTACTGAGTCAAACACTGAGGCATTGCTGTGGAGTGTCTGGAAGGAAATGGTGTAGCACAGGCACTTACCTATGGTCTTGGTCTGTAGTTTTGAAAGTATTATTTTCATGTTGTACTGAATTCACAAGTATCTTAATATAGAAAGCAGATTTATGCAGTGCATGGGCTTTGGGGTCTTTTTCCCTTGCTGGTAATAAAGAGATCAAAAAACTCAGCTAATGCTAGCAGTGCTTACTCAGTTGGGTACTTCTCCCTTTGTGCTGTGTTGTCCTGCTCACTATTTCAGATGATTTCACATGGTGGTTTTGTTTATAGACCAGTTTTGAATAGTAGCACTTGAGGCACTTAAGTGAGATATTTGGTGTGAAAGTATAGGTGCAGTACATAGTGGAGAAGATACGATAGATCAAAGTGGAGAGGCTAAAAATCCAGTGCCTTGGTTTCTTCAGATAGCTGCCACATATATAGTGTAATTTGAATGTAAGGCAAAAGAGTACATGCCGGAATAAACTGAAAAATAAATAAGTAAATAAATTAGAAGAGTCAGGACAGGTATGTGCTAAAGCAGTTGGACTTGAAATGTGTGGTGCAGTAGTTATTAGCTGAAACATTCTTGAATTATAGCAATTAGCTCACAGAACTCATAAAAAGCATTTAACATGGGAAATGGAAAAAAATTCAGTAACTGGAGTTGTGCAGAGAAGACATGGGCAGTTTTATCCTACTGGAGACCAGGGTGCTCCTGGATGTTAATAAACTCCAGAAACAAAAACTTGTAATGTAGGAATGAGAACACAAAATGCTGCTTTGAACTGGAGAAATGCCAAAAGTTGATGAAGACCTGTGCTAAATAACATTCTTTTTGGGAAGGAAAATTAAGTGTACAAGTACCTAAGCAGATGTGGATGATCCCAGTAGGCAGCTAAGCACCACACAGCCACTTGTTCACTCTCCTCCAGTTGGGTAGGGGAAACAATTATGCAAAAGTGAGAAAACTCCAGTTGAGGTAAAAGCAGGTCAAAGAGTAAAAGAGGGTGGGGGAAGGTGATGCAGAAGCAGTCACTACCAGCCAGCCAGTGCACTGCCACTCCCTGAGCCATGGCAGCCCTGGAACACTGCCCCCAGTTTTGCTGCTGAGCATGGCAAATGGATGGTGAGGAATATCCCTGAGGTCAGTTCGGGTCAGCTTTCCCAGTTTTGTTCCCTCCCTGCCTGTTGTCCACCCACAGTGGATTTGCTGGGTGGAGAGCAGGTCAGAGAGAAAGGCAGAAACCCCTGATGCTGTGTTGTCAGCACTGGCTTGGTCACAGCATCAAAACATGGCACCTCATGGCACCATTCTCTCCTCTGTGAAGAGGAGAGATTAATTCCATCCCAGCCAGACCCAGTGTAGCAGAGGATAACATGACTAAACAGTAATCCTGCAGGGAAGGCAGTATTTTGAAACAATTTTTCCATGTGCCACTTGAAAGAAGTCCTGTTCCCTACTGCAGTGTAATACATGGGGCCTCAGATAATTATACTGGTCTCCTTGGTGCTGTTGAGGAGTTCCCTGGAGTCATACGCAGTACAGTGATGACACTTCCAAGAAATGCACAAATTGGGAATTGGATAGGTCGTGCTTTTTAAATTTACACTTCTGCTTATCTCCAGCTGATCAAATAGGAGTATTAAAGTAATAGAGTTGGTCTGTTAGAGGACACCTGAAGAGAATTGCAAAGTTTTTTTTGTTAGGTGGAAGGTAGCTGGAAAGAAGATGGCATTCAGTTATTTTTGTCACTAAGGCTTAATTAGATGGGAAATAAAAGTCTACCATTGGAATAATGGTTGGAGACTTTGAACTACTTGAAAAAATTATTTTAGAAACTCCAAGCCCTGTCACGTATTGTCTTTCAAGATGGTTGGGTAAACATTTAGAATCCAGAAAGTCTAAACTAGCCCTGCCTTAGCATAGGCGTAGGTTAGACAGTTTCTGGGCAGCAGTGTTGTTTATTTGTGCTTCAAAATGGGCTTTTGTAGAGAACTTAATGTGCTTCTGATTTAATACTGCCTTTTGAAATTAGAATGCTTTGCTGTTTCAAGAGACACTGATCCAGCAATTCTCTGGCTGCTGCCAGTTGTTTCCAGTGCATGATTCAAAATCCTAACCTTTGTTTAACCACTGCAGGCATCAAGATTACGTGAGGAAGCCCATAACATGGGAAGTGTGCATATGTCAGAAATTTGTACTGAATTAAAGAATTTAAGGTCTTTAGTTCGAGTATGTGAAATTCAAGCAACTTTGCGTGAGCAAAGGTAAGTGTGTGCTCTGTGCTGATCTTCAGTTTTTAGTGTGTTATTAGAACTTCCATTCTTGCATTATTTTGCATGAGTTCTGTTTCCTGATGACTGTAAGTACACCTCTACTTGCCGTGTTTGCAAGCTGTCTTCTGTGTGTACATTCTGCCTGTTTCTCTCCACTAAACAGAACCAGATAGGTAATTTCTATATCTGCTTTTACTTGGATAGAAGGGAAGGATCTTTGCAGAAACCTTTGTGCATTAGAAAGAACTGATGAGCTCACAGTATTTCAGCATGCTTCTAGAGTATCAGTCCATACATAATGCATAGATGGCATAGATGCACGTCTGCACAGTTTATCCTGATCTGAAACACTGCAGTTCATATGAGAGATTCAATAGACGTAAAGCCAAAGCAACTTTGAACAGGTGTAATTTACATCACAAGTGAAGGAGAAATTAATGTTTGCTTATAGCAAAGTAGGTTTGGCTTCTGAAGTCAGTGATAGCAGGTGTCCTGTGTATCACTTCAATGATACACAGCCAGGCTTTTGAATACTTCTGTGCAAGATTGGAAACTGTAATCACAAAATACATGCTCAGAATATTCACCAGTAGTCATGATTTTGTATCTCCTTTCATACTCAGTTTCCTCTTTCAGTGATGTTATCCCAACTATTAAGTCACACTACAGTTTGAATACAGTGCTTCTGATCTACTATTTGAAGCCACCTTAATTGTGTTGCATGCTGTTAAAATAGCTGCGTTTATTCTAGAAGCTCTTGCATTTTGGGAGATAGCGAAACAATCCTTTAGAAGCAGGCTATTTGTAAACCTTTCCTGATAAAGAATTGAAAATACCCATTCTTTCTGAAGCTTTATTTCATAACTTCATACATGAATTATGATTTCTGTAGTATATTTAGTGAATGGTTTGGTTTTTTACAGTTTTAATTTCCTAAGGTGTCATTTGTCTCTGCATATTTGATCTGAAATAACGTGTCAAATGTCACTGTTCAGCTCATTAAATAGCACCTTCTTTCTTGTACACTTTGTATCCTTAAACTGTCAATGGATAATTATTATTATGACTTTGAGCCTATAGTAACATGCATCTTTTATTTTTGCTGCAATCCTAAAGATGTGGAATACAAGGCATAAGTAACCAAGTTGATGGGGGAGGCTTTTGCAAAGGATGGGATTATCAAAATCAATACATTTGAATGATACTATTTCTGTACTTCTGCACAGAGCAGTGCTACTTAAATTTCTTCCAGGAAGGAACTTCATCTCTAGATAAAGCACATACATTGTTTGAATCTTAACTGACAGCATGTGAAAAGGCACTTTTCATTGACTGATATATTTTATATGCCCATGCCTTGAAGCCAAATATTATCTTTTTGGTCTCTATATTAATATATTATTTTCCACCTACTTTTCAGTAGAAAATTAATTTTTAATGAACTGGGCACATATTTGAAAAGTGTTCCACAAAAGTGCTGAATTGTTCCTTTTTCTGCATTTATTAAATTCATAGAATTTAATAGCCTTCATAGAATATTTATATAAAACCTAAATTCTCCCTGAGTATTTTCTTATTTCACTGACATGTTTGCATTACACTTCAGCATCATGAAAAGTGGTTTCAAAATGTTCATTCAAAATTCTGGGGGAGAGTCCTGTGAACCAGATGTTTGTTAGTCACGGTAATTGTTTATGTCAGTTCAGAAGAAGAGAAAAGGGTATAAGAAGTTGTGAGCAAGATAATTTATTTTTAAGCAAGGTGTAGTTTTAACTTTTTATCTTGTATGCCTTTCAATGATGCCTCAAATGTTTTTGAGATTGGAGCTTACCATAAGTAGAGACACAGAGTCAAATACTTTTTAAAAAGCAAGTGAGAAGACGACTCACTTTTTTTTTTAAGAGCACTTTATGTTGTTTGAAAATTTGGAAAACTGCATGAGAAAGGCATAATGTTGTTCTCCAGATTATTCAGTTACTTGGCTTACTTGCCAGTGTCCTGCTTTTTCTGGAAGCTACATTCAAGTGAAAGCAGACCTAAACACAACTGTGTATCAGTCATAATAGAAATACAGCAACTTAGTTTTTTAAAATAAATGTTAAGCATACCAAGCCTTTGTGCATCTGCACATGGTTGTAGGTTATTGAATAGATTGGGAATTAACTTGATATCTGAATTTTTTAATGGTGCTAAGGAAATTGGTATCTTTAACTGAAATTGTAAAAGTACTTGTATAGATGCTTATTTAATACATCTGTATAGTATTAGTATAGTATACAGTAATATATTAGTCTAGTATATAGTATAATAATATATAGTATAATACTAATTAATTTCTTTTCTCTTGCAGGATACTATTTTTGAGGCAACAAATTAAAGAACTTGAAAAGCTAAAGAATCAGAATTCCTTCATGGTGTGAAAAATTGTAAACAATTGCACATGGTTTTGAGTACAGGAACTATTAAACTGATGCCCAGTCTTAACACTTTTGAGCTGCATTTGAGTAGACTTTGGACCGTTGAGCTGGGCAGAAAAAAAAGTTGACATGGGGAAGGGGACAGGAGGGAGTCAAATTCAGGGGAAAGATACAAGAATGATTTGTAAAACCCTTGAAATGTAGATTTCTTGTAGATGTATTCTTCACGTTGTAAATATATTTTGTAGAGTGAAGCCATGGGAAGCCATGTGTATCAGAGCTTAGACATCCAAAACTAATCAATGCTGAGGTGGCTAAATACCTAGCCTCTTACATGTAAACCTGTCTGCAAAATTAGCTTTTTTTTTTCCTTTCTTTTTTTTTTTCCTTTTTTTCTTTTTTCTTTTTTTTTTTTTAGTTAATTTATCATTCAGAAATTTTTCATTTCCTAAAATTCAATGCAAGCGCCAGGCGATTTGTGTCTAAGGCTGCAACAGTTTGGGCGATGTACAAAATACCACGAAACAACTGTTTCCACACTTGCACCGAGTCGAGAGCAGTGCTTCTCCATTTCTGTTTTACAGAGAAATGTTTTTCATCTTCTGTGTTCCATTTCCCCATGAAATCCTAAATCTGATTTTATCAGCTTTTTAATGCTTCTAATTTTCTCTTTTCTTAAGGCACTGTTGCTATGGCACTTTTTCTATAATCTTTTCATTCCTGTGTACAGTAGCTTAAAATTGCAGTGATTGAGCATAACCCACTTGTTTGTATAAATTATTGAAACGTATTTCCATTTGCACCCTGTAAGAATGGACTTAGAGTACTGCTGGGCATGTGTGCTGAAAGTACATTACTTGCTCAAATATAAGGAAATAGCCCAATGAACATGTTAACATGGTTGTGGGAGGGGAAAGAGGAAAAAAAAAGCTAGTCAGATGTGAATTGTATCTGTTGTAATAAACATGTTAAAGCAAAGAAACACTGGTTTTCATTTCCTTTGGTCAACACATTAAAATTTGGTCTTTTTGGGGATTCTTTATTAGAACTGTTCTTGTTGAACATTTTTGTACTTAAATAATTCCTCAAGGGAGGTTTTGTTTAAAACTTGTAAACAGGAAAATATGTATAAAATATTTAAGGAAATATAAAATTCAACAAGGATGATTTAAGACACCTCCCCAACAGTTGTCATATGTTAACTCCTGGTTTACCTGTCTTGATATTATGACATTTCATTTCGAAGGATGTTTGTGTTGTAGCTAACTGTTTAAGTCTGGTGCTGACTGCTGTTCTTAACCATCACAAAACGCTGAATTTGTGTAATTGGAGCAACTCACCGTTTGAAAATGGTGGAAAAGCTCAGCTTTGTATATTGTTTCCTAAAGTATATTAAAAATAAAAAAGAAACTATTGCTACTACAAAATAAACGTGACTTTTTCTTTGCTTAAAAATGACAGTAATCATGATGGCAGTACTAGTTTAATATTTGTAGAGGTGTATATGTCATGGCAGTCTGTTAAGTAGGAAAGATAGTAGGAGATGGATTAAAAAAAAAAGAAGTTAATGATACAGATGTTTACATGTGATATTTTGTGTTTTGTTCCTAAAAAATAATTTCAGCACCAGAAACGGTACTCAATTTTTGTGTTGAGTGAGCTTGGACTGATTTTTAAAATCAGTTTTTCATCAGTAGAAGCTGAATACTCTTGATTTAACAAAACATTGCAAATGGAGCAAGTTGAAATACCTAACTAACAATAACAATGGGAAGATGGGACAGATGAACTTGTAATTTTTCCTCACTTTTTAACCCAGTATGTTCTGTTGTGTTTCATATCATGCAAATGTTTGATTTTTCTCAGAAGATGGGAGTAATCTTGAATGAATTAATTGGAACATACATTGTTTCTGCGTTTCTGGAGACCCAAGGCTGAGTGACAAAATTCTTCCTGAGACTTTCATATTTGCCTTGCATCCTATTTTTGGAAATTGCCCAAGTGTGGGGAGATAGCATGGGAGTGTGCAAGGGATCTCTCACCAGTAGCTGTCCTTAGTTTAGGTATTTCGCTGTTTCGTTACTTGGTGAGACAAAAGTGGTTTCTATCTTAATAGATATGCTGGGTTTATTTTCCATGAGCTTATTTTGTTTCCTTTTGCTTGTTATACTGCCCTCTATAACATTCTGTATCAATGAGCCTCAGAAGTTAATTTTATTTTTAGAAAATTACTTTGGATGATTTTTTTTAAATCTCTATTTTGAGTTACTTTTCTTATGTTTAACTACTGCCTGTTGATCTTGCAGTTTTGCAGAAGAGTGTCCTTTCCAGCCTAAAAACTGCTAGTCTGTTATATCACTTAAAAACTTTCATAAAAATATGAGTGGTCACAGATAATTTGGGAGTCACGAGGATTAATGTGCCACTTTAACCCCCTCAAACCACCTGCATAAATACCCATCACACAGAGACCTGCTCTTTCTTCAGGTGATGCCCTCCCTAACTCTGCAGTAAAGGTGGCTGCTTTGTCACCATCTGATGACACGTCCACCCCTTGTTGGGTTCTGTATTTGCTCCCCATGCAACAGCTTTCCTCCCCATCCTCTGCACCCTTCCAACACCTGGAGCTGTTGTTAGCTGAGGAGGGACAGCCTGACAGACTTGTCTAGTGTTAGACAAGTCAGGGAAAAGGATTGCAGGCACGGCTTTGAAGTCAGCATTAATCAAAGAATAGGTTAGGTTAAGGTCTTTCAGAATTGGCTTCAGTAAAATGCAAATACAATCCTGGCCTTACTGTGTGATCTGGAGACCCTCTTTGGCTTCTGTAATGTGCCAAAGCCAGCATTCTGTAAACCCCTTGGGGAAAAAAAAAAAATCCATTAATTTTTCTATTCCCTATCAAATCTTGTATATGAAGCTGGACAAAAATGAGTATCTCTTTGGCTTCTGTAACGTGCCAAAGCCAGCATTCTGTAAACTCCTTGGGGAAAAAAAAAATCCATGAATTTTTCTATTCCCTATCAAATCTTGTATATGAAGCTGGACAAAAATGAGTAGGTGTCCTGAGATCTATTACTAGATTACCAGCTTTTCATTAAATCTCCATCCTGAAGCTGATGCTATCCCTCACATTGATTAATTAAACGGACTTTATTGGATTGCTCTTCACCTGTAAGTCAAATGAAGTGAAATTCCCCTGGATCAAACCTTGTATTTTTCCTAGGCAGGTGTTCAGAAGGTGTTGATTGGAGCTGTGGGATGTGTTTTCTGTATTAATTACTTCATAGAGGTGGTCAAGGAAAAGTGATGAGAAACTGGGGAAAGAAGTGTTGTTGCATACTTTGTTCTTGATTTTCTTGTTATGCATTTGCTAAGCACCTCTAGTAGAATAGAAAAACAGCCTTCAGAATGACTGAGGAGATGGTCTGAGCTGGTACAGTCATACTGCAGGCAGTGCCATTGGGCTAGTGCTTTATCACGTCATGGCAGGCTCAAGGACTACAGCAGGAGCAGCTTAATATGATTATAAAATTACATGACTGATCCAAGGAATTCCTATTTTTACTCCATTGTTAAGGCACTCTAATTCTTCTGCAGGTGAATGTATTCTTTTCACTGACCCTGATCTGAAGGTGCTGTGGTCAACTGCTCGATTTGCATCAACTTTTCCTGCCTACACTGATCTTCTGGAGCAATGCAGTTTTCAGACTCATTTCATTAATTGCATCTCTTTTGGCAGGAGCATCTTACTTTTGGTGGATGCTGGTGCTGTCTTTATTGTTGCAATTAAAAATATGTTCAGAAAGAGTGTATAATTGAAGCCAGGAAGAATTTTTTAAATATCCATTCTTTTTTGGAGCAGCCTCATTGCAGGACTATCCCCAAAGATACATGAGAAAATACTGGGTAGTTGTGCCATGCCTCCTAAGTCAGTGGGTCAAAGAAGGCCATGTCTTACTGTCACCCTTTCATTCCAGTGTCACCTTGCCTGTGGTGACAACCTGAGGACTTAGCAAAGCAGAGTCCTTTGTTGCTGTGAGTTTGGCTGCCATGGGCTGTACTGTATATTCTGCTGCAAGGAAGGAAGGAGTGATGTTCCCTGAGCATCACTGCCATGGTGCCTCAGGGACTCGTGAGTCCACTGTGTGTAAGGGACAATCACTTCACCTCTGTGTCGACACACAGCTGTTCTATATGCAGTTAAATACCAAGTCCATTCTTGGAATTAGCTGGATGTTTCTGTGAATATGCCGTGCTGATCCTGGAATAATATTTTGTCCTGACCAAATCAATCTCATTTACATGATTACAAGATTAGATACAAGATTATAATGAGGCAAATATGAATGTTTTAAAAATAATGCCTCGACTTTCGGAGGAATGTTCTGAGCTAAAGTGCCATCACACTGATATCAGCTCTACTCTTCTGTCCATCATTGCTGATTAATGATATGTGGACATTTGTTTTGGTTTTCTTATTTGTTTTATATTATTTCTTAAGAATTGGAACTTTTGATGTGGGAGGAATCTGTTTCGTTGCCTAGCAAAAGGAAAAAATCCCTTTTTTGACAGTTGTTTTCCTGTAGTCAGTCAAGCAAAAGCTTTCATTTGCAACTGATATCCATATAGACGTTGACTTGTGCAAAAAAATATTTTCAACATTGTTAGTTTTGGATTCCAGTTACACATTGCTCTTTTTAGATATCTTCTAAGTTTATCTTCTGTCTCTGGTCTACAGCAGATGCTCAAAAATACTTTTTGGATTCCAGTTACACAGAACTCTTTTTAGATATCTGTTAAGTTTATCTTCTGTCTCTGGTCTACAGCAGATGCTCAAAAATACTCAGTCTTTCATAGCTATAGGCATCAGCTTTATCCTCCTAACCTCCATAGATGCCTGTGTTGCTGCTCACGTATTAACCCATCTGGAACTGTTTCCTAGATGCTCCCTGATACAGACTTCTGTATTTTCCAACTATGGCTTTTTTGTTTGGGGAGCCTCCCTGAGGGAAAGGACTGATGTAGACTCTACCACTCAGGGCTCCAGGTAGCTGAGAATTTGAAAATCACAAAGCACTTTTCTCCTCCCTAATAAAGGCACTAACCCACCTGAACTAGGACTTTCTAGAGAATGAGCTGTCAGGTTTTGTCTCCCATGGGAACATCCTAGGAAGCCTTGTTGCATCCTGGACGGTCCTACCTGGAGCTGATGGGCTGTGTGCAGCTGAACTGCACAGCTCCACTTACAGAGTTAGCACAGCAGGCTTGCAAACATAGCTTGAACAACCTGATCTTTCCAGCAGTTACTCAGTATGTGTGACAGTATTTTGTCACCTTCTGTTAGTCACACGTGCCAGAGAGCATTTGCAAAGGAATGCTACCTACTCCTGCATGCAGCACCATGCTCAAAGACTAATCCCTATGCTCCAGTTTGAAGTCTCAGAATCTGGGCTGTGTAGAAGTGTGTTAATGTGTTAATCTCAGAATGTTAATTCAAGCTCATCTTGCTTTTCATTGTATATTACCAAAAAAAAAATCACTCATGGAAAATACTGTCACAGTATCCTCTGTATCAGCAGCTCGAATTTAAGTGCAAGTCACAAATTGATTCTCTTCATTCTTCCAAATCTAAAGTTGGGCCATGGGGGTCAGTGAGTGTGTTGCCTTAGAGTTCTGAACAGCCTGAGCAGTTCTATTGCCTGGCCAGGCAGATTTGCTGACAAGGTATTACATGCTTCTCTGGGCAAAAATCTGTGGCTGGATCTTTCTTCACTGTAATTGGGATGGTGTCAGAATTTGACTGGGGTTCCTGTTCTGCTGGATGCATCCTCATTAGTAGCAGAAAACTTACCCTGGGAAGAGTTATTTGGTAAAATGACCAAAGCCCATGGCAGATGGTGCTACAGGAGGTGACTGTGTTGTCAGCAAGCCTGGACTACGTGATGGTGCCAGGGAACTTGGATGTCCATCATTCCACCCAGGTTTCTTTAGCTGCTGCTCTCCATCCTCAGAGCAAAGGATTTTTCTGTCTTCCACATTTTGGAAGGTTTATTAAACTTGTTCGTGTAGGAGATTCAATTTCACAGTAAATCTTCTACTTTTTTTTAAGTGGGAAGGCTATTAAACCACTGACAGCATGTCCCTGTCTTCACTTGCTAAATAAAACTGCCTT